TCGTGTAGCTTTGCGCGAAATTCAAAAACAAACAAATCAACTGAATTTTACATTTGTATTTTGTGATAGGATACAAATTATCAGTGTCAAACATAATCATATGGGTTTAGCACCGATTTTTTGTATGAGCTCGAATTTTAAAAATTCGGTGCATTGAACTACATTATTTAGATATCTAAATGACTCTGGATTCGAAATTGAAGCAAGAAATCAATCGTATATTCGTAATTTCTTATTGATTTAATTTACCTATGTCATACTAAAAATAGTTGTATTGTTATAAAGCCTTCTGTTGTTGGGAGGTTTATTTTGGATTATTAAATAAAAATACGAATGCATAAACCAGTCTGCTTAATGATAATGAAAGTGTTTTAACTTTAAGTGTTCGACTATAACTTCTTCGAATTGTACCGTACAGCTTAATTAACGCCTACTGATAGGCGTAAGTTCACAGTAGACGCTAATGTAAAAACTTTACTTACTTGCTATTTTTTATAAAACATTCATCACTTACTCATATCTCTAATACTCCGTTGAAACATAAGATTAATTCTCACAAAATTAGACTAAGAGACAAACTGCCTAACACATTTGCTAACCCTAAAACCAATTCAGTGTAAAACTCACAACTAAACACTTAAATCATTCACTTCACTGACTAACTCTCGTTTCATATGTTTACGACGTTTTCTAAACTTTCAAGAAGGCTATATTAATTACGTCATGCCCATCATGCGACGTCAAAAAATTCCTCTGGCCAAAAACAATACAAATGACTAAGTTAAAAAGAAAACACATAGCTTAGAACGATAAAAACAGCTACAAAATGCTGTGATAGGATACTTCTCTGAATTAAAACTTCAATAGCACCACATAAGATGGTCAGGCATAATAACTTAATGATTTGCATGCTGGGTTGCGGATTAGTAGGTTCTAGTCATGACATGCCTTTCTGATATTTCAGATGTAGGGTTTTGTAACTATGAAGATTAATCCCGATATTCAGTTAAGAATAGCTACATAGGTGGATAGTGTGGCTGATTGGTAGTCCCCTCTCTGATTATTAGCTCTAAATTATTGATTACTGTGGTATCTCTCAGATAATCAGCAGAACAGTGAAGTTAGGCCCATTAATAACAAAAAGTTCTTGGATATCTGGTTTTCTTCGAGTTGCAACAATTGAATCATGAAAAAAGATATAGGCTGTGACATAAGTTTAATCGAGCAACAAGTATTTAATAACAGTTTCACAGTTTACAAAATAAAAAGCAATACACTACAATATAATAAATGCATAGCAATGCAGTTAATAATATGGAAAGTGATCTTGTACATGTGTATGTGACTGACAATAGCTGATGGAGACTTTAGTGAAGAGAAAGTGGTTAAAGAAAAACACTAAATGAAAAGTGCCTAAGTTAGAGAGATATCACCTCAAACAATATTTTAATGCATTCTATGAAAAATCTAAGATCCTACTTGGATTTTACCCTCAAAACTCCAAAGACTAACACTCTAAATGGATTACATGAACCGACACTAACCTCTTGTAAAAACAATCATAATAAAAATACAGTTCTTTTTTAATGCCATTTTTATATTGTATTCTAAAAACTGATAAAACCCTGGCGTTTTATATAGATGTTCCTGTCTTCTCCAGAATTTTATTATCCAACTTTTTCGATCCTATGTGTTTTCAATTTAGCGATCATAGTTTTATTTTAAATATTTTATTGTCTTATTATATTATTTGAATACTAAGACATCAAACAACCAATGAAGCTAAAGAAGAAAGAAACGAGATTACAGACTAAATAAAATATATGTTTTTTATTCATTACGTTTCCCTAAAACAATCTACGTTTTTCGTTAGTCTGTAATTCAAGACAACACGAAAAGACCCCCAGTGGCTTAGCAGTAAGCCTGTGGGCTTATATAGTTAAAATCGGATCATGACACTCGGTGAGGGCATAGCACAGATAGCCCATTGTGTAGCGCTTTGTGCTTAACTAGAAAAAAAAATCATGAAAAGTTATCGATACTTAGTAAGCTACAATGTTTTGAAAACTAGTGATCTCTGAAATTTGTATTGCTCTTTTTCACTGACATGGACACATACATGGGTTATGGCGTTATGCTA